AGAGAGAGAGAGAGAGAGAGAGAGAGACTATGCAGATCCTTCTGAACAAATCTAAAATGTAATTAACTTTTAGAGAAAATGCTGCCCTCAACCGAAGTCTTCACTTCTTCAATTGGATTACCTATTACATTTTACCTCTTTTTTGTGTGTTTTTGTTTGTTTGTTTCGTTTTTCTTTTATTTTTGTTTAGTTTTGTCAGAGACAAGCAATGGGTTTGTTTGTTTTGGTATGTTTTGTCATATTTTGTTAGTGGTGAACTTTAAAAAGTATTTTAAAAGCTATATTATTTAATTTACTATGATTGCCTTTTCACTTACTGTACATCCAAAGAATATAATTTATAATTGGACTATAGTAATAATATTCGTATTTTTTTGCCACTCAAAGGCATTAATTCATGGAACGCTCCCTTTATTCAGGGCTAATTTTAGACTCTCTGTGCAGGGGTAACTACTCTGGATTTGTTGTTTTTCATTCACGAAAAGATGGTGTCTTGAATGGACCACATGCTTGTGACTGAGACTGAAATTATTAAAAGTACTGTGCAGACAGAACCATTTTATTAGGTAGGTAAATATGTTTGCCTTACTTTTGTTACCTTACCTTGTAGATTCGTTCAAGCAACACTGACTGACAGCTCTTTTTTAATTTTAATTCCATTTTTTTAATCATGCCGGGTTTATTTTGACACGGTTTTGAAGTTGAAGTAATGAAGTTGAAGTAGCAATGACCACGAAAAACCTTTTTTTGCCAGAAAGTGTTTGCAAATAGGTGCATTTTGTAGCTTTATCTTCACCGAGCATGGAACTTTTTGAATTTTTGAAATCCATCAATAAACAAAAAAGTTACGGATTTTTTAATCAATCAATTTCTGGTACACTTTTATATTTATGAAAAACCCCCTAAATATGGGACGTTCTTTGGTGAGTTTGAGACAATATTCGTCATAACTCGCTCATTTCTCGGAGTATTTAAAAGAAACTTGGCAACCCAGTACATTTTCTAGTGCAGAATCTAGTTCTGCTTTCAGATTTTTCATAGCTATCCTATTTTTTGAGTTATGAAGACGTTTTAGTTTATAGGTAAAAATGTGGCAGTTTTCGGTGCGTTTTGAGACAATATTTGTCATAGTCATAGCTCACCTATTTCTTGGAATATGTAAATGAAACTTGGCAGTCTAGTACATTTTTTAATGCAGTACCTAGTCATGCAGTCAGATTTTTAATATCTGTCATACTTTTTGAGTTGTAAAGACATTAACAGGTAAAAAAGAGGTGTTCTTTACAGTACAGATTTACAAAGATTATCAGTCATATGTTCTCCCAAAGTCATGATATTTGAATGAAACTTGGCAACATAAAAGGTTCCTCC